ACGATCACATATCTATTCACTTCCAAAACCCCTCTACCCCCCCCCCAAAACTACGGGTCTGATATGGGGAATCGTGCATCGTATATTGAACAGTAGGTTTCGTGTTATTTGACGGACTCGTCGTGTAATGAAAAGTACGTGACATGTATCGAAACGTATGCGTCTTATAAAGACAGGTACGCTTCCTATATAGTCAAGTATGTATCGTATATTGTCATGTATGTATTGTGTATTCACAAGTATTGAAAAGTAAACTCCGTACATCGAAATGTATGCATTGTATTAGTGTGAAAACCGTGTTGTGTTCGGGGAACATTGTCTCGCTTGCTAATAACACTTACACGAGAGATTTCAGGTTCAACCCAAAGGCCCCGGAACACGCATTAATTCATTACGAATAGTCCAGCTTTATTCATTTATTCAGTTGAGGTCACGCTTCGCTGCTAACTTCTATCCTCCTTTTGTTTCAAAATTTTACAAACTCTACAAGGCATGGCAGAGTAAACATGCGATCAGCCAATCGCTGCAGTCATTGGCACGATCACGTGATTACCAGGAACATGTCTCACGGTTTAAGAACTGCGTAGTTGCCACTGCTAAATGCAATTAGTACACAATCAGTACACAATTTATTGAATTCCTGTAATAAATATTTATAATGTCTACCCTAAACACACGTTGTTGATTCTAAACAATACTGCAACGGCGTGTGAACCAAATATGCCCACGTGATATCATTACGATAACAATATATTGAAAAGTATACAACATATATTATAAAGTATGTACCGTATATCGAAATGTATGCATTGTATATTCATTAGTATTCAATGTATAATGAAAAGTATTAAATTAAGAAAACATAATATGTTGGTGATGTGTTTGGTTACCATGAATATGAGACAATGTTTTTTTCAATATGGCACACATTATGAAAAATGTAAAAACTTTAAAAATGGCTGATTAACAGAACATTTTAAAAAGCTTTAGATTTTTGTCGATCGTACGACTCGGCATGAATAACACCACGAGTCAGTCATGTATTACTTGTTATGATAATATAAAAGTCAAATTTCACTTTCCACAGAATTCAAAGTATTGTAACATTCAAGGACATCATGTTATTAGTATAATATTAAGTTCATTCAGATTTGATAATTATGTATATACCAGCCAACACTTTAATTATGACCATATATGCCTGTGTTAAATCCTACTTGGCGTGCTGTGATCTATATGAGCCCATGTGCGACGTTGTGTTCATTTCTGCATTTAATATAGCGTCACGTGCGCCGTCCCATTTTCCAGGGCCTTGCAAACGATACATGTACGGTAGCTGTGGCCCATACTGGAACGCCATGGCCAGCTTTGGATCAGAGAGCAGTAGTTTCCAGAATGAAGGTTTCACACCAATATCTTCAGCAATTTCGTCTTCGTATTTAAATGGGTTTATCTACAAATAAAAAAAAAATATTGAAAGTGAAAATAACAAAAAATTAGATTCACAACATACAAACGACAACATAATCACAACAATTCACGTTCAATAAGCATCACATGTATACATTAAACTATCGATTCTTAAACACGTGGCCATTTTTGAAGAGAATTGTAGCACATCTCTAGGAATATCAGGAGTATTATATATTGTATGGATGGTGATGTATCAAGTACTGTCTGAAATATTGTATACCTCGCCTTTACAACATTTTCAGTCACAGGTATTTATTCTGTAGTCATGTCGTTGCAATAACATGTATGACATTTAGGCTCGGTGATGCATCACGTACTGTCTGTATTATTATAAACCCACCTCATCAGAATTGTTATGAATCGATGTTCAGATACAATACTTACGAAACAGTAGCGTCTGCCATATTTGGGCTTTGTTTCAATGTCGGCGAGCATTTCTTCTTTCTTCGGCAACTTCAGGTTTTTAGTAAACACCCTTGTGGCCCACCTGGCTTGGAGTTCCATGCATGGCCACACGGCACTAAATGGAGCTATCATGCCAATTATAGCAAGTTTCTCTGGGTTTTCCACACGAACCGGAAACACGTATTTATACAGCTGCATATTATCGCCGTCTAATAACGGTATTGGAAAATAACATATATTATTTATAATTATAATATATAAATATAGTTAAATCATGTGATTCCTATTTCAAGTTAAATAAAAGCAAATCGTAGCAAATGCTTCAAAGTCAATAACTACTAGCTATGTAATATGGCTGTCAAAGCCATAGTTACATTATAACATTACATAACATTATAACATTACAATGAGGGTTCCCATTGTTTGGAAAGCCGCATATGCTAAATATCTGCTGCTGTTCGATTTAATCGCATCATTGGTATAGTTAACATTGTGTTTATTATTTCCTTTGTTGTAAATTAAAGCAATCAATGCCTCTGCGTTCAGGATATTTCATGATATATACTCACCAAAAACCCAGTCGTGCTTGAGAACTGGCAAAGATATTTCATAACCAGTAGCAAAGATTACAACATCTATGTTTTCAAT